AAAAACTTTTTCGTTTGTTGTCGTTGTTGTTGTTTTGAATAATTAAATTTGAAAGTCGTAAAAGAAGAAGAAAAAGGAACAAAAAAGAAAAAAAAATGGCGGAAATTTTTATTCATGATAAAAAAAAAATTTTTTTCTTTTCTTTTTTTCATTTTCCGTCCATTTTCTTTTTTTAAAAAATAGAAAGAAAAAAGGGAAAAAAGAAGGAAAAAAAAAGGAAGAAAAAAAGGAAAAAAAAGAAAAGTTTTTTTTTTATTGAAATATTCCATAAAAATTTTTTTTTTTTTATTTCACGGTGGCAGTTAAAAGTTTTAAATAAAATAAAATTAAGTGTTTTTTTTTTTTTTTATTTTGCTCACCGCAAAATAAAAAAACAAATAATAATAATAATAATAATAATAATGATGATGATGATAATAATGATGATGATAATAATAATAATAACCAACAATAAAAATAACAATAAAAACCTTTAAAAGATTTAATTAAAAAAAAAAAAAAAGTAGTGCAAAATTTTCTTTTTTTTTTTTTTTTTTCTTTCGTGGGAAAAAATTTATATTTAATTATTGTGGCATTACGCACGTACGCACGCACGCACGAACGCACGTTACAAACGCACGTTTTCATTTTTTCTTTTTTTTTTTTATTCCCATCGAAATAAAATATTAAAATTTTTAATAAAAAAAAAAAAAAGAAAATTTTTTTTTTCTTAACTTTTTCTTTTCCCTTTTGTTTTTTTTTTTTTTTTTTTGTTTTTTCATTTTTTTAAGTAAAGAATAATGAACGAGTTTTATTTATCATCATCATCATCATCATCATCATTATTATTATTATTATTATTAAAAAAAATTCTGACGTGATTTAATAAGGTAAAGAAAAAAAAAAGAAAAGAAAAACGTTCGCCGTAATATAAAATAATAAAAAGAATAAATGAGGGAAAAAGAAAAATGGCGCGTAACTCCTTTTTGCTGTCGTTAAAGTTTTTTTTTTTGTTTTGTTTTTGTTTTTGCTACGAAAAATAGTTTCGAATGTTTATCATTTAACGTTAAATGTTACGTTGTAAATTTAAACCTTTCGGGTCGGCTCGAGTCGGGCGGTTATTCTAAAATAAAAATTAAAAGGTTTAAAACGTTGGTTAACGTTTATTATGATAGTTTATTTATTTGACAAAAGGAAAATTGCTTTTCGCGGGTGGAAAATGAAAAAAAAAAAAAAAGAAAAGAGAAAAACTTTTAATTAAATTCCGTTTTGAAAAAAAAACAAAAACAAAAACAAAAAAAGTTAAATGATGAGCGTGCGTTATGTGCCGCCATATTTATTACGTATTTGTGACGTCACTCATTTAAAATCTACGAAATGCGCGCCATTTTTCTTTTTTGTTTTGTTTGTCGAAAGGGGAAGTAAGTGTAATCGTCGTGGAAGGAAGAAGAGAGAGAGAGAGAAAAAAAACCGTTGAACGTATTGTGTTTGAGAGAGAGAAAGAGAGATGGATTGATAATAATGGAATTTTCTTTTAACGTACGTTAAATCGACACTTACGCCATTTTGGTTTTCTTATCAATGAATTTCGATCACGTGACTTTTCGTAAACGAGAGCAAAAACAAGCGCGAACGATCGGGTTGTAATGTAGAAGTCTGGGAAAAAATTTCGATGGATTTTGTTTGTATTTTCATCGCCGCCATTTTGAAATTCTGACACATCCTTTGCGTGCGTGCTTGTGTACGTGTGTGCGTGTGTGCGTGTGGGTATATCATTATTTATAAACGTCAGTCGTGAAAAATGTAAATGGTACCTGTGACACGCCGTGACGCGGAATTCGCAATCGTTTTTCTTTACTAACGTTCTTCTAGAACATTCTTTTTCTTTTTCCGCCGTCGGGTTAAAAAAAAATTTTTTTTTATTCTGTCGACTCGCCACAGCGTAACCTCAAACAAAAAGAAAGAAAAATTTTTTTCTCATTCGTCGTCACGTGCATAAAATTTAAATAGAAAGATGTAGGAAACGTGGAGAGGAAGGAAAAAAGGGGAGGGAGGACGGCGGGGAGGCGCAAACGGAAGTACACAAAAATGCGACATTATACCTTTTAATTAATCGGATTATTTTACGGTTTTTGTGTTGGTTTTTTTCTTTTTTTTTTTTTTTTTGTAAACGAAGGAAGGAAAAAGGTTGGAAAGTTGAGGCGATGAAAGAATAATTTAATGAAATTCAAGGAAATAAGTTTTATATTTTTTTAATATTTATGTACTTTCCCCCCTCCCTCCCTCTCTTTCTTTGTTTCCCTCTTTTTTTTTTAACAAGAGCTTAAATTTTTTTTTATACAAATAATAATAATAATAATATTTAAATTTTTATGAGTTTCTTATTATTGTAAAGTCCGACTTTTCGTAATTGCGCGAATTATTCATATGTTTATCATTATTAAATTTTTATTTTGATTTGTGTCGTACACGTGTCGTCTGCTACTGCCACGATTTCCATCGTGTTCTTCGTTTAGAATTTTTTTTTTTTAAATTAAGATTTTAATTTTTTCCGGTTTGAAATGATTTGACGCTTGATCGATTTTCACACTCGAATCGTGTTTTCCTTATAAATAAAACCGCAAGTATTTCCGGTTTTAAATTCGCGTAAATCTCCTTTAAAATTTTTCTTTTCTTTTCTTTTTTTTTCGTTTTCGTTCTCGTTCCACGTTACTTTGTCATAATTACGTCGACGAAATTTATTATTACTTTTCCGCGATGATTTTCCGACACCAGAAAAATATTTTATGAGTTTCTCTTCGCGATATAATAGATTTTATCACATCGATAAAGTCGTTGTCGTCGTAGTGATAACGGCCATTGATAAAAATACGGAAGTGATAAAATGTCGCGAGAACCGGAAATCAAAAAAAAAAAACAAAAAAAAAAATTAATTTGAAGAAAATAAAACGAAATTTATTAATGTCGACGTAATTTGTCAAAACGGCGTTTTATCGCGGAAAAAAATTATTATTATTATTTCACTCGAGTGTTTTTCGAGGGAGGAAGGAGAGGGAGGGGAGGGGCGGTAAAGAATTTTTTAAGTATCACAAAATTGCGAAGTAAAAAAAAAAGGTGCGATAATTTCGTGGAAAAACAAAAGAAAAATGCGTGAGATTGCGGAGGGGGAGGAGAGGGGAGGGCCACGCAATCGATAAAATCCCGTACACGAATGAATCTCAAAGATGCTGCGTTATTTCATCTCATTATTTATTTATTTATTTATCTCGTTACGGGTATGAAATGTCAAAAACAAGATTTTAATAATGGATCTTAACTAATAATAATAATAATAATGAGTTTTCTTGTTGAACTTGATCTCATTTCAAATCAACTCAAAGTGGAAAAAAAAAAAAAATGAAGAATCGGGGTTTCGGTAATAATTGTCAGGTTCAAAGGTTGAGAATTATTAAAATAGTGGGGAGGGAGAGGGGGACGGGGAGGAGGAGGAGGAGAAGTAGATTGACGAGCAGATTATTAGATCTGAAAATAAAAAATTGCGTAATTTTCTCAACATATGCAAAACCTGTTTGTTTTTTTTTTTTTTTTTTGTTAGTTTTGTTAACTTTGAAAGCTCCGCGGATTTTTATGAAATTTTGCGTTGGGGGGTTGGGGTGGGAGTGGGAGAAGAGAGGAATGATAAGGAAATTTTATAAAATTAAAAAAAAAAATTTTCAAGGTTTTCCCAGGGGAGGAGTTATTGGGCGAGACTCTTTGGTTTCGTTTTATTAAAAAATTAAATTTTATTTTTTTTTTTTTTAGAATAATAATAATAATAATAATGTGTGCCCATTTTTACGCAATTCATATGGACGGTGTCATAAATTAACCTTTTGACCTTTTGACGTTTTTTTTTGCGTTTTGGATTTGTGTCGTTTTTTTTAAAAAAGGAATTTTTAGTTTTTATGAATCTTTTACAAGGAGAATAATTTCCGCTTTCGTTTTCTTTTTTTTGTTTTTTTATTCGTCGGAAAATCGTTTCTTCTCCCCCCCCTTTTTTTTACTGGGAAACGTCACCCCGCAATAAAATGTGACACGATTTTCTTTTTTTTTTTCTCCTTCATTTTTCAATTTTGTGTGACGTTGTGCGCGAAACATCACATTGGATTCGAATTCGGAATTCTTTTTTGAAAATTTTTCGCACGATGCGAAAATCAGGAATAAAGTTTCGAGGGAGCGGGGAAAAATGATGGAGCTTCGTTACTTCCCTCCCCTCCTCCCTCGAAATTTTTTTTTCTGGGGGTAAAATTTCGAAGGCAAAAACCCCCGGAAAAATTGGCACGTTAATGTTAAGTTTCTGTCGCAAAAAAAAAAAATTTTTGAATTTAATCGAACGATAAACAAAATACGATTTATTGCGTGCGAAAACTTTGGGGGCCCCTCCCTTCCCTCCGCTTCCCCCCTCATTCACCCCGTTAAAATAGTTTGGTTGTGCTGTGTTACAAATTGGTAATAAAAAAAAAATAATCTGGAGTACGTTTCATCACAAGTTTTTTTTTTTTTTTTCTCCAGCGCTGGACTAGTTTTTCAGGTATTTAAAAAAAAAAAAAATGGACAAGTGACCTCCGGATAAGTTAATTACTATTAAATATATATCGTTCATCCAGTTTTTAGTCACCTTGATATGGTAGAAAGAGTTTTAGGTACGATATGTGTGACGTGCGAGGAGGGATGTGTAGTAAATGCGATGAAATGAGATGACCAATATGCCGGTGGCAATGACGATTTGTTAATCGCAATGTTTGGATTCAAACCACCGGGTGTGATGATGATGATGATGGGGGAGTAACAAGTTTGATTTTTGCGGGGGGGAAGGGGAATTTACATTTTCGTGATTAAATATCGGTTGAGGACTTTTTCGAATTTCGTAGGGATTTTCTCATATAAATACGCGATGGATACGCAAGTTGTTCAGTGGACTCCTGAAACGCGACGAACACACAAGAGTGATTGAGGAAAAAGCGGTAACGGAGTTAAGCGAGATGGTTAAAATAATAGCTTTGGCATTTTGCGGTCTTTTGGCTGGGGTTTTGGCCGAACCTCCGGTAGGTTACCTTCCACCATCGCAAAGCTCGCTAGCTTTTGGATCGTCTTCGGGTGGTTTTGGTAGCGGTAGGGCATCGTCGTTTCATTCTCACAGAAGTGGATCGAAATCGTTTTCTTACAATTCGCAACACGATGGTGGTTTCGGGTCTGGTGCTGCTGGATTTGGTTCTTTTGTCGGATCTCCGGCCGTGAGCTCTTTCGGAAGCGGTGGTCAATCTGGTTTCGGAGTTTCTCAACAATATGGAGTTCCATCTGTTGGTTCTTCTGGATCCGGTTTTGGTTCTCTTTCATCTGGATCATCTTTTAGATCCGGTTCGTCATCTTTTGGATCTGGTTCATCTTTTGGTTCTGGTTCTTCTTTTGGTTCTGGATCTTCCTTTGGTTCTTCTTCTAGAACTTCTTTTGGATCCGCAGGCGCTGGTGTTGGCAGCGGATTTGGAGTTTCCACACAGTACGGAGCTCCGGTCGTTGGAAATTCTGGTTTTGGAGCTTCTGGTTCTTCTTTCAGAAGCTCAGGAGGATCTTTTGGATCTGGTTCATCTTTCGGTTCATCTTCCCGTTCTTCTTTCGGATCTGCTGGTTTAGGCAGTGGATTCGCTGTTTCTCAAAGATATGGTGCTCCAAGTGCTGGAGCCGTCGGTGCTGGATTAGGCGTTTCCGGTTCTGGATTTGGAAATTCGGGTGCATCCTTTGGATCAAGTTCTTTTGGTTCATCCTCCCGATCTTCTTTTGGATCCGCTGGTTCGAGCAGTGGATTTGGTGTTTCCCAAAAGTATGGAGCTCCATCTGGTGTATCCAGCAGTTTCGGTTCCTCATCTGGTTCTGGTTTTGGAGGATCTGGTTCTGCATTCGGAAGTTCAGGAACATCTTTTGGATCAGGTTCTTCTTTCGGTTCATCTTCTCGATCTTCTTTCGGATCTGCAGGTTTAGGCAGTGGATTCGGTGTTTCACAAAGATACGGAACCCCATCTTTCGGCAGTGCTGGTACTAGTTTCGGATCTAGATTTGGATCAGGATCTTCCAGTTTGTTTGGCTCCGCTGGTTTTGGTAGTGGATCAGGTGTTTCCCAAAGGTACGGAACTCCATCCGCTGGATTCGGTGTTTCTTCAGGTTCCGGATTCGGTGGTTCTTCCGGTTCTGGATTTGGAGCTTCTTCAGGTTCTGGATTTAGTGGTTCCGCCGGTTCTGGTTTTGGTAGTTCCTCCGGTTCTGGTTTTGGAGCTGCTTCCGGTTCTAGATTTGGAAGCGGCTTTGGAGTATCCCAACAATACGGTGTCCCAGGTTTCGGAAACGGTTTTAGTGCTTCTGCTGACTCAGTAGTTTCTCCGGAAGCTTACCTCACCGGAACAGAACCCGGTTTAGCCGTAAGTATCACCGCCGAAAGATGCATTTACATTTAAAACAGCAAAACTTTTTCACTCCCATCTTCTATTCGAATGTAAAATTAAAGGAGCCCGCCAATTACGAGTACACTTACGAAGTACAAGCCGCTCAACAATCCGGCGTTCAATTCGGACATCAAGAAGCAAGAGATAACGAATCCGCCAAGGGGGCTTATCACGTACTCCTTCCCGACGGTCGTACCCAAGTCGTAGAGTATCACGCCGACGAACAAGGATTCCAACCTCAAATTCGTTACGAAGGAACTTCCAACGTTCAATCCAGCGCTGGAGGATTAGAGGGACCTTATTAAATAACATTCGTAAAGGGTCGACAATACACAATCAAATCTAATTGATTTTCAATGGAAAGAAAAAAAAAAAGAAACCTGGAATTCAATTTTTTTTTTAATTTCTCGCAACAAAAAAAAATTAGAATTCCAGAAAGTTGTTTTTCATCATTCTCCAATGTTTAATAATTGTTGGACGTTTCCGGTTTCCATAGAATTTGTTTCACGGCTGGAAATCTAAAACTTTTTTCATTGTAAAATATTTGTTTATACATTTTTTCATATTTATAAATAAAATACGTATAATAATTATCATTATTTATATATTACGACGTCATACGGTTACGTGATCACCGGGTTTTTTGGAACGATCAACTGGAAAAGATTACCGAATAATAAAAAATGAAAAATATCCTTATTTCGCTTCTGTTATCCTTTTCAATTATTTTAAATTGTTGGATTTGTAATCCGTTTCATCGTTTTTCTGTGGAATGATTGATGTCGTCATCTTGGAACGTAAAGGGAAAGAGAAAAGAAAAAGGAAAAGAAAATTGATTTAAATTTACGAATAGTTTATTCGCAAAGGCGATAAATTTTCGATTAATCAATCATTTTAAAAACGGAAATACGTAATCGTATATCGAACGGAAATCATCGTTTCCGATTACGTAACGAATTCATCAAAATTATCGCGTGTTGGTAATTTTTTTTTCTTTTATTTGAACCGAAAATGATGATGATGATGATGATGGCGATGGCGATGGCGGCGAAGATGGCGGTGAAGGTGGTGGTTTAAAGAGCAGTGGCGTAGTAAGTGGCGGCAATACTGGAGAAAAAATTTTTCGAGTTTATTTAAATTTGTGTTAAGGGAAACGAATTTAAAACAATCTCTCGATAATTTATTTTTATTATTATGGAAAAATTTTTCAACTGTCGGAAAAATATATTATGGTTCTTTTAAATAATAATAATAATAATGATGATGATGATGGGGCCGTCGATTATTCGTTGTAACGTTTTTCGAACGCGAAGGAATTGTTTGCTGTTGTTGTTGTCTGGCTGGAATCGATAAAAAAAATTTTAAATCACGTTTTTAACATTTTATATAATTTACGAGTAATTTTTTCACTTCCGCCCTTCCTCTCCCCTCCCCTCCCATCCCCCACCCATTTATTTCATAAAATAAAAAAATTTAATTCTATCGCGTCGAATTTTGTTGTTTGTTGTTTGTCGTTTGTTGACGTCGTTTTGGCAGCGTTTACCAATAACTTTTAATTTTTTTTTTTTTAAACCGGAAGTCAAACGTTTCGTACTCTTTCCTTTTCTCTTCTCCCCCTACCCCAGGTCTTCGTGTAGGCGCACCTGTCCCCCCCCCTCTCTCTCTCTCTCTCTCTCCCTCTCCCTCTCTCCGAATCCTTGTACCCAAGCTTCCTTTGCCAAGGATAAAAAAGCGTTAATGAAAGCAAAAAAAAAAAAAAAAAGCGAAACGGAACGAAACGAAATTTATTTATTTATTTTTATTTTTATTTTTTTTTCACTGGAAAACAATAATAATAATGAAGTGCGAATCGTGCGTGTGTATGTGCGTGTGCGAATCGAAAAAAAAGGGGAGAAAATTCGTCGTGTGATAAATATTCATAACAAACAATTGTTGTAGAAAAAAAAAAATGTCGAACCGTGAAAATTTAAAAAAAAAAACGAAAGAATCGAAGAAAAGAAAACAAACAAATAAATAAATGAATGAAAAAATTTAATTTTGCGGGGAGGTCGAAGAAATTCAGGTGCGGGAAGGGTAAGGGAAAGGGTAAGAGAAAAAAATGGATAGAAGGGGTTTTAAGGGGAAAGGGGAGGAGTCGACGGAGATACGATGAAAAAAAAATGTTTCGTTGCGTGGATGATGATGATGATGATGAATAGGCATTTTAGTTTTTATCTCTCTCTCTCTCTCTCTTTCTCTTTCTCTTTTTGTCCGTTTTTTTACCTCGTCGAGCGCGATTTTTCTTTTTATTATTATTATTATTATTTTAATAATTTCAAACCTGGAGAATTAACCGCGTTCAATTTAAATTCAACGTTTTATAATTAAATATAAAAAAAAAAAATTTTTTCTTTTTCATTTCCTGGAGTTTTTATTTTGGAGAAAAAAAAAAAAATTAAATTTATTTTTTTTACGAAAAGAGCGAAAGTTTTAATTTAAAAAAAAAAAAATAATAATAATAATTACGATTTAATGCGGAGTAAATGGGGGGAGTGAGGAGGGGAAGAGAAGGTGGAAAAGGATGTTAAAGTACGCATTCGATAATGTAATAAGTTTTTTTTTTATTTATGACGAGGGAATCGGAGGGGGGGAGAAGAAAAAAAATTATTTCTTATTGTTTTTTTTTCTTTTTAAAGAATTTCAAATAACAGCAAATAAGTAACCGTAGCAAAAAAAAAATGAATTATTGACGATTTTGTCATCGTCGTCGTCGTCAACGCCGTCATTTTTTTTTTCATTATAAAAAAACGTCAACGTCATTAAATTTTCACCAAACGTAGGTTTTAAATATAAATATACTTTTTTTTTTACCTTCGGTAAATAAAGAGAGAAAGAGAGGGAGAGAGAGTAAGGGAGGGAGGGAGGGGAAGAGAAGGGATTGTAAAGGAAAGATAAAAAGAGATGAGGAGAAAAAATGTAAAAAGGCGGAAAACTGACAGACGGAAAGAAAAGTACACAGAGACAGGTAGAAAAGGAGAGAGAGAGAAAGAATCGGATAATGATGAAGATAAATAGAGAGAGGGAGAGAGAGAGAGAGAAGAGAGCCAGTAAGAAAAGGATAGTGGGAGAGAGAGAAAGAGAGATTCTCGAAACGAATACAAATTTTTTTAATTTTTTTTTTTCTTTTTTTTTTTTTTTAGGTAAGTGAAAATCGAGAAAAAATTAACGGAAAAAAAATTCCAGAAATTTTCAAAGGACGCTCCAGGTAAAGAAATAATAATAATAATATTGTGTAAGGTAAGACGAATATTTTAATATTTCCCACCTCCTTTTCTTCTCTCCTCCTCTCCCTTCCCATTTTTCGTCCTGTCATTTTCCATTACGGTATTCGACAACGTCCGTACGACACCTGGAAAAATTTTTTTTTTTTTTTCGAAATGAATATTTGCATTTGTCGCAACGTAAAAAATTATCATCATTATTATTATTATTATTTCTCCAAAAGGTCATTACAATCGTGTTTCAATTGTTTTTTTTTTTTTTTTTCGTTTTTGATGACGACAAAGATTACAAAAAAAATTATACAATTCAAAACGTCAGCGTGCAAAAAAAAAAAAAAAAAAATTGATTCGTACGAAACGTAAAGGGGGAGAGGGTGGGGGCGAAGGGCGGAGAGAAGAAGAGACAGGAAAAAAAAAATTATAAAAAATAAAATGGGAAGGGTGACGGTGGGAGAAGAGGGGCAGGGAAGGGAACAAAATTCGAAGCGTAAAAAAAGTCATTAATTTGTTTTTTTTTTTTTTTTTTTTTTTTTTTTGGCGGGGAAAATGCTTTCTCGCACGCTGGAGTTTAAAAAAAGGAAAAAAAAGGAAAACAATTTTTTTTCCCTTTTTTTTCCATTTTGAATTTTTTTTTTTTAAATGCTGATTCCAGCCTACCTTTTGCTGCGGTTCATGAAACCGTCATTTCAGTGTATTTCGCACGATAATTAATTGCCTCGATACGGTTTTCTTCTCCATCGTAAATGTTTTTGTTTTTTTTTTTTTCTTCGTTTTTTCATTTTATCGTTAAGGTGTGAAGTATTATCATTATCATCATCATCATTATTATTATTATTCATATTATCACGATTGATAAAAATTCAATCAAGCAAGGGAAAGCAAAAAAACAAATAAAAAAATGCATAACTTTGCTGTCGTTCATGAAAAATCACGAAACGGTTACAAGCGGGTAAATAAAAACAAAAATTCGATAAATCGATAATCGATACGAGATTTAATTAGTCGATTCAATAAGTTAAATAATTTTTTTTGGTTTTGCCGAAAGAAAAAAAGGAAAGGAAAGGAAAGGAAAGGAAAGGAAAGGAAAGGAAATGAAAATTATTATTATTTTGCTAACGTTAAGGAAAGGATTTTTGGCCGTTAGAAAATTTAATCGTCGATTATGAATGACGATGTCCGGGGAGACCGGGTACCGTAATTATAATAAATAACCCCCCCCATTTCCCTCTTTCTCCCTTCTTCCTCCCCTTTGAATTTTATTGAGATTTACTCTCTCTCTCTCTCTCTCTCTCTCTCTCTCTCTCTCTCTCTCTCTCTCTCTCTCTCTCTTTCTCTTTCTCTTTTACGCACTATTGATTTTTATTTATTTATTTATTTGTTATTTACGAGTGACGTCATTTAATTTAAATTCCATACCGGATCGGATTAGGCGCGGCCATTAAGGAAAAAAGAAAAAAATTTACTGCCGCGTTTTCTTAAATAACTAAAATTTTCCTTTCGTGAATGATGATAATAATAATAATAATAATAATAATAATAATAATAATAATAATAATGATAAATTTATAAAAAAGGTTTTTGTGGGGGGAGGAATAAAATCCTATTTTTTTAAAAAGGCGCCGAAAGAAAAATTTAATAAATAATAATAAACAAAGATTTCGCGATGAAATTAAATCTTTTAAAAATTATTATCATTATCATAATCGTCAGAGGCGAAAATTTGAAAAATTTTCTTCCTTCCCCTCCCCGGAAAATATCGGGAAAAATTATTGTGTCGATTAGAACAAGGGTCGTCGTTCTCAAATGGGATTAAAAGATTTTTTTATGACGTCATAAAATTGTAAGAAAACGATGGCAACGTTTCGTCACGGATTGATTTGTATTTAATAAAAAGGAAATCGATTTATCGAAAGATCGATCCATCGATCCATGGATCGATGATGAGAAAGAAAAAATTTTGAAAAGGTTGAAACGCGAATTTATTATTATTATTATTATTATTATTATTATTATTAGGGTTCGGAATTTTTGGAAAGCTTTGAATT